AGAACATGTAATCAATAAACTATTCAAACAATACATAGTGCAAAGATTTATTGATGCAATACATAGTCAACATTTATTTTGACAGCAGCAAGTAGGTACATTCAATTTCTTGGGGAAAAGAAACCAGGAGGATTTATGTTGCTAAAATAGAATGGCCCTGCTCATAAGAGCTTGCAATCTAAAGGATCACGCCTTATAATGACCAGTGCTTTAATGGTACAGCAGCAAAGAAACGGGTAATATGAATCAGGCAACATTTTCAGGGCCATAAACTTAGCACACACCATCAGTTGGTCAGATGCAGGATTCTCTATCCACAAAATAGTCCCGAGATCAAAATAAATAAAACAGCATAATAAAGTGCAAATATCACAGCCAACACCTCCCACCTCCCCAAGTACCACACGCATACATTTCTGATTATGTTTGGCATAAAGCTGCATTTCGGTCTAAATAAGCAAGCAAATTCTATCCAAGTTAGGAGTTGTAAGAGCAGAGCAATTGACATTTGTTAGTATTACAAACAAGGTAAGTATTAACAGATGCTCCCAAACCATAAACACGATCATAGTAGAATAATACACCACAAAACACACTTTAGAAGGACAAAATGCAAAACATTTACAGCCCACATCAAAACACAGCCTTAGTGGGGTCTTGGACAATTAGGCACAATATCTCTTCCTTACCCCCCAAAACCACCACAGGCTGGTATACAGGCCCCACAAATCAGAGTTCATTAGCATGCCCAGAAATAAAGCAACAGTAAAACAAGTGTACCTGTGCAGCATACAACAGAACATTGAACAGGGATGTGAAGGGGAACCCCATGGCAAAATTTATTGGCACTATGGGCACAATTCACTAAAGCTTATCACATGAGTTATGTCAGTCACATGACCACATCTCGCATGCGATACTGAAAATGTCAATTCACTATTGCTAGTATACGCTATTTACCGAAAATAGCAAAAACACTCTGGAAATACCGCATAAAAAGACCTTAAAGTCAATTCACAAAAGGAAATAAATATTTAAATGCATGAGTTATTTTTATGTAGTGGTCCAGGCATGCTGTATGTACTGGTATCTGTCAGTACTGTCATGGATTGTTAAGGAATGGGGGGTCGTGGAGTCCCCCCAAACCTAGGAGCCATCAGCTGTCAGCAGGGTTCCCCACGGACAGCTGAACAAAGGATGGAAATGAAAAAAGAATTAAAAAAACAGCGTTGGGTCCCCCCTCCCATCCATACCAAGCCCTTCGGGTCTGGTTTGGATTTGAGAGGAACCCCCACACCAAAATTTAAACAAAAAAAAAATGGCGTGCCCCCCAATTCCATACCAGACCCTTATGTGAGCATGCAGCCCTCCTGAACTATACCAGGCCACATGCCCTTTTGGAAAGGGTTTGTCAAGCCAAGAGTTGAGATTCCAAAGAAAAAGAGTAAGAGCGTGTGTGAGTGAGGAGGAGGGGGGGGGGAGTGCCCTTTGGGCTAAGTCACACAATGGGCACAATTCACTACGCGGTATCTTACCGCATCCAATTATGTGGTAGGATCCCACACAGCATTTTTTTTTTTTTTTTTAAAGTTTGCGTTCCCTAAAAAATGCTACTAATATACAGCATGAGTTATTTTATCAAGTCATGCAGCCGTTTAGTAGTTTAAAGCATGCGTTTATGTTGCAGCTGCCAGTGGGGTTTCCCACTGAGAGCTTAATATAAAAGAAAGAATTGCTGGCAATTTAAAAAAAAAAAAAAAAACATACAAAAGCCCAGGTCTTTTAGGAGAGGAAGATCCACGCAGAAATTAATTAAAATTGCGTGAGAGGAAAAATCCACACCAGATACTAATCCGAGCATGCAGCGCAGCAGGTCAGGAAAGGGGGACGAGCGAGTGCCCCCTCCTGCACCATACCAGGCCACATGCCCCCAACATGTGGGGGGTGCTTTGAGGCGGGGAGGCCTCTGGAAGCCCCCTTTAGCAAGGGGGCCCCCAGATCCCCCCTCCCATGTGAATGTGTATGGGGTACCCGGTACTGCTACCCATTCCCAAAAAACAAAAAGTGTAGTGTAAAAAAAGACAAGAGACAATCTTTGACAAGTCCTTTATTAAAAAAGAAAACTAAAAGAATGTCCCCCTGCAGTAGATCCAACATCAATCACGATGTCTGCCGCCACCCGAAAAAAGACTAAAAAAAGTCTCCGTTCCTGGCCATCTGTCTGCTCTGCAGTCTTGACAGTTCTTAAATATGTAAGGGACGGGGCCACCTGGGGACATCAGGCATGTGACTTCACCCCTTGTGACATCCATGAGCTAGCATTCCCCGATTGATGATGTCACCTGGGGCGGGGTCATATGGGTGATGTCCCCGGTGGCCCTGACCCTTACATATTTAAGAACTGTCAAGTCAGCGGAGCAGACAGACGTGCAGAGACTTTTAAAAAAATATATTTTTTCGGGCCTTCGGCAGCAGGCATCGTGATTGACATTGGATCTACTGTGGGGGACATTCTTTTACTTTTTAATAAAGGGCTTGTCAAAGACCGTGTACTTTCTTTTTTCAGACTACACTTTTTGTTTTTTGTGAATGGGTAGCGGTACCATGTACCCCATACTCATTCACATGGGGGCGGGATCTGGGGAGTAAGCCCCTTGCCCGCAGTCCCCCATAACCACAGCCAAGGGTTGTGGGGAAGAGGCCCTTGTCCCCATCAACATGGGGACAAGGTGCTTTGGGGAGGGGAGCCCCCCCACCTGCCATAAAGCACCCCCCCATGTTAAGGACATGTGGCCTGGTATTGTTCAGGAGGGGGGTGGGGGCGCTCACTAGTTCCCCCCACCCCCTTTCCTGACCTGCCGGGCTGCATGTTTGGATAATGGTCTGGTATGGATTTTTGGGGGGGGACCGCACACCATTTTTTAACTTTAATTTGGGCTTGGGGCTTCCTCTCAAAATCCGAACCAGACCTGAAGGGCTTGATATGGATGGGAAGGGGGACCCCTCGCCGCCTTTTTTTTTTTTGATTGTCGACCTTTGTTTATTTTTAGATTCAGCTGTCAATAATACTGTGTATATTATCTAGATCTTCGAAATGTGATATATCAAATTCACAACATTTCGAGTGAAATATACAGAAATATGAGTAAAGTTCATGTAAAACCATTACAGAAAATCATTACAAAGGATAAGAAACATAGTATAAATAAAACCATGATATAATAGAAAAGGAAATCCACTTCCAAACAGATATACAGGGCTTCACTTGGGGTCCAATTTAAACTAGAAAAGCTTCAATTTCTGGGGAAATTGTGTGAAGTGTTCTTGCCTCCACCAGTAGTCTACAACTGGAGTGGGTGGAGTAACTGGGTGGAGTGGCTTGTCATTCTGCTGCCTGCTCACACACCTGGGTTCCTATGGCAACTCACTCTACAGCAAGGGCAGAGAAGAGCAGTTAAAAACAAACTGCTCCAACTTGCTCACTTCACTGACGGTTGCCATCTTCAAACGGTTGTAGTTTAAAAATTGTAAATCCTACACCGAAGAGCTTTATATTGTGAGAATCACAAGACCCAGACCTACATTTTGATGCATAGTATGTCTCTGAAATATTAAAAATGAAGGCACAGTTTAGATATTGCCCTTCAAATTTGAGGTGGCTAGAGTGGAGTTTCAATGAATGTCAATGGGCAGCGTGAGTTGCAAACAAATGGTCATATTGCGAAAACTATCAGGACTATGGCTTAGCCGTGGATATTTTTAGTGGCAGCGGGGATAGCTGAACGTTTTGATACAAGGTTTGTGTAGGTGGGCTTGAAAATTAGGGAGTGATGGCAGTTTAGAAAGCATGTCCTGATTTTTCTGCTCACACTCTAGTTTTGAACATTCCGCCATTCATTCCTATGGGACCAATTTCACCACAAAAACGTCGATATTTTGTGAACCATTCGGCGAAACGTTCCACAAAGTAATAGCACACCAATCGGGAACAATTCGCACGTTTCAGTATATTACTGTCTATGTAGTGTAAAAACTGTGGGAGGAGTTAGGGTGGTAAATTTGGCTATAATAATAAGAATATATATGTGAGATAACAGTAATTGGTCATGCCATGCAAGAACACTTAATAATGTTGTGTGAAAATGATACTCTACTCCCAAAGAAATATGTCAGGGCCAGATTTGGGAACCAGTGTAGATTCTTGTGTGAAAATTAAATGCCCCAATTGTACCTGTTTTAGCCCAAACCACCTGAGACATAGTTATATGAATTCCCTTATCGGATAACCCAGATCTCCAGATTGTAAGACGTCAATAGCAAAGGTTACACCAAATATGAATCACACCAGGGTATCATAACAACCTCCATGCCCACCAGGTTCTCTGCTGGCTGTCCGGAGAGTGCAGTTCTCCACAATAAGATTCACAGTAAAATACAAAAGACCAAAGAGTAATTTTGTTAAAAACACCAATTTATTTCATGCAAATATACTCACAAGCATGTCAGGCCTATGGTGTGATGACATCATAGACCACTAACCCCTTCCTATGTGTTTAGTTTATGCAAGGAACCTCTGCAGGTGACTTTGGGCGTGGAGGTTATTACCATATTCTGATATTATTGTTTGATTTATATTTAATATGCCTTTTTATTCCACTATACTGGTGGTTTTATTTATTGATGCTGATATTATTTGTATCACTTTATTTGCTCTCATTGTGATATTTATGGTCAGAGGTTCTGCACGCTCTTTTTGTTTATGATTTTGTTTTTTTGTATTCGGAACGTAGTGTGCATCCTTATTATCTAGCATAGAGCGCATAATTCTTTGGTGGTTTATTTAAATCTAACCTATAAGGAGACTGTCAATTTTTACTTTCTACTATTATTACACTAAAATGAATGTGCTTGTAGTTGACTTTCAGACTACATGTTTTATATATTGTTTTTTTTTTTTTTATATCCGCTTAGGAGGCTAAAGTGCTATTTACAGAAGAAAAATGTTGCTGAATCCAGTCATTTCAAAGCTGGCAGGGAAGAGGGTTGTACTGGCCAGTGCATCTCCACGAAGACAAGATATACTTTCCAATGTGGTATGTAAATTGTGATTGATATTTAACTACTTGGTAACATGCACCAAACCCAATCTCACAACTTTGCAGTAATTTTTTGATTTGATTAAATATTGCATTGAAGTGATATGTTAATAAATAATGCTTGGCATAGTATAAAGCCTTTCAAGACTTGTTCTTTTAAGTGTCTATATACTGCCTCATGTATCACTAATTTTGATTTGGATATTCTGAAAAGAAGATTTCTTTACACTTTACATGTGTGAGAGCAGGAACATATTGTTTCAACCTGAGAAGCAAGAAACATCAAAAACGTACACTCACCGGCCACCTTATTAGGTACACCTGTTCAATTGCTTGGTAACACAAATTGCTAATCAGCCAATCACATGGCAGCAACTCAAAGCATTTAGGCATCTAGACGTGGTGAAGATGACTTGCTGAAGTTCAAACCAAGCATCAGAATAGGAAAGAAAAGGGATTTAAGTGGCTTTGAACGTGGCATGATTGTTGGTGCCAGACAGGCTGGGCATTTAAAAAACTGCTGATCTAGTGGGATTTTCACGCACAACCATCTATAGGGTTTACAGGGAAGTCCGAAGAAGAGAAAATATCCAGTGAGCTGCAGTTGTGTGGACAAAAATGCTTTGATGCCGGAGAAGAATGGGCAGACTGGTTTGAAATAATGGAAAGGCAACAGTAGGGTCAGAATTTGGCATAACCAAAATGAAAGCATGGTTCGATTCTGCCTTGTATCAATGGTTCAGGCTGGTGGTGTCAAACTGTGCTAGCCAAGTTAAAATTGCAGAGGCAATCAAACGTAGCATTATGGATGTGGTATGTGTAGAGCTTGTTGGATGCAATGGTAGAATGTAGGTGTGCTGTTAAGATTGTAAAAATGCTGCTCAACCACTTGTTTTAGACATTTGTGTGAAAGAGCCCATAGTGCAAAACTGACCTGTTTTGCTTATCCCTCTGCTGTAACTCAATTGATTACAATATAATGAACCACTAAAGGTTACCTATTTAATTACCACCTGTAGGGTAACTAAACTGCCTTGCAGGTTTCTTCTGGAGGCCCAGGCTCTGGTAGGACCACTCCATGTTGTGCTCAGGTGCTCCAGTGTTATGCTCAGGGCACACATGTGCTTTATGGACAATACGCAATAAATCATGGGGCATGTAGCCTGAAGCATCAGATTCAATCCATTTGTACAGTGTGCGCTCCCTGACCAGAAGTTCAGGAAAGCAAAATTAAGAGGGATACAGTGAGTAGGTGAGGGTATGTGATGCAAAATGCAGAGATAAAACAACTGTTTTACAGCTAGTTATGTGGAGCTAGAGGTAAAACACTGGGCTTAACCCCTTCACGCCTAAGGATAAAACAAATCTTAAAGCCTAAGTAAAATTTTACTTTGACATGTGGTAGTAAAACCGTACATATCATCACAACTACTTTGTACATCCAGGAGAATTGTACCGTGTTTTTTATCAGGACACATTGGGCTTTCATTTGGTGGTAAATGGTAATGGATATCTCCTGTTTGTGTTTTTTTTAATTATTATCAAACGAAAACTGGTCCAAAATTGTAAAAAAAAAATATTTTTTTAAATTTAGCTTTGTGTTTCTTGTTACTACCATAACCTACCACCAAAGAACAACCCAATATAAATTTCCCAGTTCTTGAGGATCACAGCGATACCATATATGTGTATGTTATTTGTTGTTTGTTTGTACCTCTACTACAGCCCAGAAACAATAGTGTGCATTTTGTTTTTGTTTTTTTTTACCTGAAACACACTGATACCAATTTAAAAAAAAAAAAAAACCCTAACCTTTGACCCTGTAAAATATCGTATTGTCTCGATATTTTATTAACTTGTATTGATGAGAAATGTTCAGATAGAAAGTCCTTCCACTTCTTGCATAAACTCAAAAAGATGATTTATAATAATGTTGCATAAAATTAGAAATAAAATATTGTCATACAGAATGTTTAAATAATGTCCAAAAAATATAGTTAAGTTCTTGATAATAAGATTGTATATATGTATATGTATGTGTGTATAGTGTGTAAGGCTTCTAGCAAAGTGTCCTTAAAAAGTCTTTGTTCTGCTCTTAAAAGAGCAATCCAGCCCCCACCATCTCCTAAAAGTGGGTTGGTTTCTCTTGTAGTCCCACTAAGATAATTGACACCAACAGGAGGTATTAAAACAAAACCTCCAATCTACTTCTCTCAAAGTCTGAGTGTAACTTTATCTCTTACATAGATGGGGGGAGGATGGGGGAAGGTATAGCTAATTGCTCTCATATGTGGCTTGAATGTAAAGGAAAAACCCAAGATATATGTTAATATGTATATTCACAGACTATGAAGTCTTAATTACTTACTTTTCCCAATCTAGAACAAATATAAATATAACTCAATTATTCTAATTAAGATCCAACTCATTCATACTTATGTTAGTACTGTTAATAAGAAGATATTAGATATTAGGTTAAAGGAAAGCTTCTAACAGACCCTGATGTTTCTCTCTCCCCCATTTAGAGAGAGAGAAAAAAAACAATGGTGGGGGGCTTCACATTGACTGATTACTGAGATAGCCAATCAGAGGCTACCGCAGCAATTGGAACCCGGTGATCTCAGTGACACCCTAGTCTTTGTGCTGGGAGAGCGCTGTACGGTGCGCTCCCAGCACAAAGACACGTACGCAAAGAAGCCCATTTCTGTGAGGCTGCGTATTTGTGTAACGTCGGCGTCAAGGGGTTAAAGAAGAATTCCAGGTCACCAGCTAGGCATGGTGATGTCATGCTTACCACTTTATACAGTCAGAGAATGATTTGCATGCATTGAGGAAATTAAAGCACTCTCTCAATTGGTGCCTGTGTTGAAAGGGCAACCTCTTGTATTCACAATACAGCAGGGCAGCCGCTCGACATAGGACTTGTAAGCTGTTTCAGATTACTGTAGTAGTGATGTCTACTACAGTGTTTTCCAGCTTCTAGAGGGAACCCATGGGCATAGTTACATTGGTCCTAGGTGCAAAAAAAAAGCCATCCATATCTGGTGTTCTTCTTTAATAATGCTTTAATATTTTTCATTGGAAAGGTGTACTTTAATCACTGGTTTAAAGAACATTTTTTTTTGTAACTGGATGACATATGTTTGCTTTGAAATATACATTTTTTTTTCCCTTCCCATTTCTGCTATGCATAGGGTCTTCGCTTTGAAGTGGTTCCATCTTGGTTCAAAGAAACTCTTGAGAAGTCTTTGTTTTCTGCTCCACAAGAATATGCGGTTGAAACTGCTAAGCAAAAGGCACTGGAAGTGGCAAGAAGAATGCACATGGTTAGTTTGGTTGCTTTACTTTGTTCTCAGGTAGAATATAATTGTTTTACGGTAGCACTTCTGGATGACTGTTACTTGGTGCATCCAGAAGTGCTACCGTCTATTCATAGGAATGCATGGACCTTCTGATCATGTCCACCTGAAAATCTGATAGGCAGACTTGATCCAGTTGGCGTGTGAAAGGGGCCTTAGCATTATTCCTCACTGGGTTCTCTTTATGCTTTATTAATGTCATATGCTTATATTGTAAAAAAAAAAGGTCGAATTCACAAATTGTCATCTATGATATGCTTCATATATGACTGACTTAATAATAAGAAAGCCTATTACCACATTTATGCTTTCTGGCAGCCTTTATTTTCCTTAGAAGAGGGGAGTGTGTCCATTTTGTGTCTATTTTGTGCATTCTTTAGGTCTATTTCTGGTCAAGCAACTCTGCAGGTGTTTACAATCTTAGGAAATAATTCTGTAAATGGACAGAAGGAAAATGCATGCCTGTAGACCCTCTTCAGTGCCCCCGTTAGGGGAAAAACTGATCAGCCAGAATTAATTTCCAAGGAGCTGCTAATCTTTTACCCCACAGAGGCTGGGGCCTCAGTGCTGTCTGCTCCATCAGTACAGACATATAGGGGTTTATTTACTAAAGCTGGTTCACTCAGAATCTTGTGCAATTCTGCATAGAAACCAATCCGCTTCCAGGTTTTATTGTTAAAGCTGGTTCACTCAGAATCTTGTGCAATTCTGCATAGAAGCCAATCAGCTTCCAGGTTTTATTGTTAAAGCTTAATTGAAGAAGCTGAGGTTAGAAGCTGATTGGCTACCATGCACAGGTGCACCAGATTCTGAGTGAATCAGCTTTTAGTAAATAAACCACATATTGTCTTGTGGCCATGCATGTTTTTAACAATGGCCATTCATGAGGAAGATCATTCATCCCGGATTGTATTTTATTGACCAGCCTCTGCCTACAGTCTGTAGGCACCTTCAGCAAGAAACTTTATAGAGCACAGAATTTAAATAGAGCAGTACCTGCTGGCTAAGTATTGTAAATGTGAAATATTCTAAAACAAAGTAAGTGTATGTGTTTAGTATTCAACATAACAGGTCATGAACATGATTCGAAGCATTTTGGATGCCCTGTAAAATTTTAGTTTTAAAAAACTTTTTTCCCTATTACATATATTCAACTTTGAAATTATTTCTATTTCACATATTTTCAGTTCTGTACTATTAACTGAAATGGCTTGCTGAACCTGTGCTTTTTCTAAAGAAAAAAAAGGCCAAAACATTTACCTTTTTTGAGATAGGATTGCTGTTTTAGGAACCACTAAACATACCATAAAGGTTAATAATTTACTGTAATTACATTTATGTTTTTTGTTTTTTTTTTAGAAGCACCGTAAAACCCCAGATATTGTCATCGGAGCAGATACTATTGTGGTGAGCAAGTCATTAAACTAAAAATCTTTTTCTTTTTTTTTTTTCTTTTTTTTTCAAATTGTTGTAGCCAATAGGAGGTCTGTTTTGCTGAACAGGACAGTTATTGGTGTACATTATATTTACTCAAAAAGTTTCAGTAAAGTGGGGAAATGTGAGTGCCACACATCTCTACTGTTAAGTTGGAAAGAGTTTTTATAGCGGTCTGTATATTCATTGGTGTATTTTTCTTCACTTTCTGTCCTGGTTACCACACAGGATGTGTGATGAACATAACTAAAGGCTGCCATACATATCTTTAATTTCATCTGATTCCTGCTAAATTGGCTGAATTCATGCTATGCCTGCTCTTTTTGGCACCACCCAGTTCAACAAACGTTGGTAGTTCACTTGACATTTGTTGTAGAAGCCGACTGTAAAATTGTCAGCTGAACAGTGGCTGTATCCAATCATACTGTATGCAGCCACTGTTTGGGAATCCTGACAAGCCTGGCTGCAGGCTGTCAGGATACAATAGCTGGCATGAAAGATTTGTGTTTAGTGTGGATAGAGGAAGCTGTTAGATTTCTATTGTTCAGCCCCCAGGGTGAACAAAAGAAATCTGTGTATATGGCTAGCTGAATAGGTTCACAGGCATCAGTATAAAAACTTAGAACAGAAGTTCTAAGCTTTATCAACCTATCCTAGATCATAGGGCTTCAATCAACCCTTCTAAACAAAATAGTTCAACTACTGTCCTGTTAAGCCTAATCCATACTATCATTTTTGTTTTCATTCAACCCAGCGAGGTGAACAGAAAAAAAAAAATGCAACAGAAAATGAGGGGGGGGGGCCTATATTAACAATCCCATGTCCCCACTGAGCTATTGTGTTCTGACGGGGTTGGTCCACCGCCGGAACACACTGATCACTGGATGCCAATAGGCATACCTTTTTCAGTCTTACCCCTTTGACAGAAGCCAGACTGGCTGCTGTACACACCGGCCAAATATCGTCCAGTTTCTACTGAACCAGCTGATACCACCTGATATTCAGCCCATGCATAAGGGGCTTTACTGAAGATATTGTTCTCTCTCTCTGTCCTGGTGATTTCCCAGAAAGTGAAATCTCTTCAATGAAGTCACTGACAGCAATGAAATCCCAGCAGAAGTTCTGATTGCTATCCATTCTATCAAAAAAGAAAAAGGTTTTTGATACTGTTGGCCTTTAGTGTTTACTATGTGTTATAATATAATTGTATGCATTTACGTATGTCTGTGGTGATATAAAAATTGTTGTTTATTACACAATTTCAGAAAAAAAATTTTCAGAATGCAAATTTTCTCTGGTGCAGATGCAGTTTTTTAAACTGGTATTATCAACAGTTTTGTGCATTTACAGTTCATTCCAATGGACCTTCCTAAAGTATTATTTTTCTCAAGTCATCTTCCAGGGCAGCATATGAGAATAGACTCCTCCCACCTGAAAACAGGGAATTCGTCCACCATTATTAAAAAAAAAAAAAAAAAAAAAAAAGCGACGCATACAACTGGGCCTTATTTCTTTGTGTTCCCTCTGGACCAACAGGACGATTGCATGTTTATTTTTACTCAAGCAAGTCTGTTGTGCTTGTTGCAGGAGTCTCCCTGCCTGGCTGCCTTCCCATGGCATCAGAGGGTGCTAGGCATGCCTAGGCAGGGTTTTCCTGGGGAACAGATGGACAGCGCTCTCCCCATTCAAATTTTTTTCGGCCTGTGGTTTCACTTCCACTGGGACGTATGCAACCATCCTCCCAGCTGTAAGGCTTTCCAGATAAACATCCATTGTGCTCCCCCCACAGACCCCAGTTGTTCCTCTGTACTCAGCTCTAGGCTGCAGGGCAGGTGGTGGCCTCACATGGAGTTGCGTTCACTGACCTGGGGTGCTGCAGTGCTTGGTACAGTTTGCCTGCTACACCAGTTGCAGCAAGATGATGCTGGGTGGAGTGGCTCATGCTTTTGGTGTCACTTCCAATGATGTACTTCCTTTCTATCACCACTTCCAAGTGAGCACAGTAACAGGCCTGGCCAGCCATATGTTTCGTCAGAGTTACGGTACTTCCTGTCAAGTGACTGGGGTTTTTTGGTGCTTTTATTTTTAGAAGCATCGTAAAAAAACCCCAGATATTGTCATCTGTCAGCTATCCATCTGAAGAGGGCTGAAAATTCATTGGCAGACTTTCTGAGCAGGAAAAGTTTTTGATACAAGCAGAATATTCCCTAGAGCAGGGAGCATTCAACTGGCTTACATGGAAGTGGGGGACTCCGCTGCAGACCTGTTTGCTTCAAGAACGAATTCCAAGACACCAAACTTCTCCCAAATAATAGTGAATAATGGCAGTGCAGGTTTGGATGCGTTTTCCCAGAGTTGGTCTTTCCATCTTACTTATGCATTCCCCCTGACAAATCTGATACCAAAGGTAGTCCAAAAGATCAAGAAAGAGAAAGCAGTAGTCATTCTGATTGCACCCTGTTGGCCACAGAGGGCATGGTTCGCTCACCTACAAAGCATGAGCACACAAACTCACATCCCACTGCCACTGAAAAAAGATCTTCTGAAACATGGTCCACCAACTAACCATCATCTGAAGAGCCTAAAATTTTCATCTTGGCTACTGAAAGGATGATCCTAAAGAACAAGGGATTTTCGGGCAAGGTCATCAACACACTGCTTGCCAGCAGGAAAAAAGATAACACAAGCCATTTACGAAGAAGTCTGTAAAAAATTTGAAACATGATCATGAGAGGAGACCACCTATCCCTCAATTTCTTGGAATCTTCCAGGGCAGCACAGCTACCCTGACCTAAATCTTGAATGGGGTTGGTATTTGGTAATTTCTAAGTTGTATGACTTCTTGTTACAGATTTTTACCTCCTCCATCTGTACTTTTGTAGTATTGAGGCACAGAGGTATCTGTTATTTTTTTTTTATAATGGTGGCTTATGCGTTCGTTGTCTTCAAGTCTTCTCTCAGATGCTGCCCTCGAAGATTCTCAGAAAATAAGTTACCAGGTACCTATCTTTTTTTTTTTTTTGTACATTTTAATACATTCTAACCCACAAGTTTTTAGAAGAATGGTACCTAAGGCCTTCTGTGCAAAATGCATGACTAGTGTATTTCACATGCATTTATGTGCTAGTCTGAGTGACAGAATGAAAATGTATAGATTAATTCTAATAGCACATATCTCATCTTGAATATTATGTGCAGTTCCTCATGTATTTAACTGCGTTAAACATGCAAAAGTGTGAACCAACCCTGACATGTGCATTTTGTGAATGTATTTGCAATACTTTATAATGACATGCTGCTTTTTCTACAGACACTAGAAGATGCGATCCTTGAAAAGCCTCTTGACAAACAAGACGCGTATAATATGTTATCAAGGTTGGCAACTCTTCTAGTAAATGGCTGAGTTCAAATGTGATTTCTGATTCAGAATATATTGTAAATTCTTGTGTCAGGTTGATGACATTTATGCAAATATTTAAACTGAAAAAGCGTTCCTAAAAATCTTTTGTCTGGTTTGAATGATAATGATAAAAGGAACACTGACAGTTGTATTTACAATTTTTTGTAGGTTGAGTGGCAAAGAACACAGTGTCTTTACAGGTGTAGCAATTGTTCACTGCAAAAGTGAGAAAGGTAATTATTTTTTTTTCTTCAGCCCCAAACTTAATGATACTTCTCTCCTACATGTAAAAATCAGCATTTTTTTGCTAGAAAATTACTTAGAACCCAAAACATTATATATTTTATAGCAGAGGCCTTACAGGTTAAATGGTGGGTGTTGCAGTTTTTTATATCACACAGTATTTGCGCAGTGGTTTTTCAAACCCAGTTTGTTTGGACAACAACACAATATAATACTCAATTGTTTAGTAAAATATAAAAGATGATGTTACAATGAGTAAATATATGTCTTTTATAGATGCATGTGAGCACGGTGGGTTAGGGGCGCTGTAAAAACAAAAAATGTGATTTATTCACAGTCTCTTTAACTTTTTTACTTTTGTTGCTAATACAAGGGATGAACAATATCCCTTGTGATAGCTGGAGCAGTGACATGTCCTCCTTATGGAGAGAATGTAAAAATGGAGTTGTTCTGGCTCTCAGAGGTTTAGTATCCAGCAGTTATATAAAAAAACAGTGCGTATGGCACTGAAGGTAAACAGTGACCATGAATAATCCATAGAGTTAATAGGTCTTTGATGGCAGATGAGGGTATATTAGGGGCTGCCATCCTTAAAGTATAGCCAGCTGGATATAATAGGTTAAGGGAGAGAGAAGGAGGCGCCACCTAAGTGCATTGTTAGCAAGATAAATTGATTCACAAACAGTTGTAGGATAATATAGGGCTCATCTGATAGTGCAGTGTTCTCAGGTACTGCCAGCCAGGATCCTGAATAGCTGTAGAGATGTAAATTGATTTACCTATTACTGCACTTAGGTGGCACTTCCTTCTTGCTCCCTTCTCCTCTTTATGGAGAGATCTGGGGGTATTAGACTCCAGATCTCTCCTCTACCCTTAAAAGCATCTGTTCAAGCCAAGATCGATTTACATCCTGGTGAAATTGGAAGTGACAAAATAGTTGTCATTTCCAGTTTCTTAGACCATAGAGATGATCAGAGAAACTCCAGTCCTCGGTCACCTCTATGGTCAACTTGCGTAACCACCAGATTCAGTCCCAGGCGGGGAGTGGGTTGGGAGACCCCGGGAAGGTGAAAGGGGGGGGGGGGACACCCCCCTTCTGCCACCTGTAAAAGCGCTTCAGTGGCTAATTAGCTGGTTGGATTGCTTTTACATTTGTCAGCACCGCTGATGATGTCTGTAGCTGAAGGCATCATCCTGGTGTATTCGGCTCGATCTGGGTTTACAACATCCATCCAGGCCATAATATCCCCTTAAACCAGAAAGCGTATCCTGACCTATTCCCAATAGCTCTAAGCACCAGGTGAGCAGCTTGTGGTGGTAGAGTGTGCAACACATAATGATTATACCATAGATTGATCAAAATCACAAGATTGATATATGCACAAAAAAATTGGGACTTCCACACATTTCGTAGTAATAAAAATTGTAGGAACACTTTTATATTACAGCAACAGGATTACAAGTGGGCTATTTTTGAGTTTTGCACATCCTTTCACTGTATGTTATTTAGTTGTGTTTTTGGTAACTATGCCTGATTAGGTGACGTGAGTTAGGCCCCTTTCACACGGGCTTAAGCAACAGAAAAGCCCTATAGATATAGAATATTGCAAGGAAGTGTACCTGTCCTTGTTCGTTTGAGTTCTATTTGTATTATTTAGGCCTCATGCACACTGGATGTTTTTACAGACTATAGAATAGGGAAAACCTCCCGCACTGCCACTACAATACCAAGCTAAACCCTATAGTCTAGGAAAGCAGCAAGTACCCACCTATGTAACCAGATAGTGAAGATGCAACAAAGGGGGGGGGGGGCATTTTTACAGCTGCTTCTAGGGGCGTCTGGCATTTTTTCTTTTTTTTTTTTCTGCTTGTAGACTCCCCTGCATGTTATCTTGTGTGTCCATGCACACATAAACTTTTAGAGGAGTTTAAAGGCAGAGATGTTTAGAAGCAGAAAAAAAAACCCTACTGCCAGTGCATCCAGGAGCAGTGGTGCTTTGACTGAAAAAATGCTTGATGCTTCAAAACGTGTGTAAATGCTAGGCGTGTTTAGCACTTGAGCATTAATTAATTTCAATGGCCAGATTAAATTATTTAATTTGGCCATTTAAATGAACTAATGCCCAGACAGTTGGCATGGCTAAACACACCTAAACTTGTTGTCAGGCGTTTTTACTGCCAGAATGTTGCTGCAGGAAGAAAGGCTTCTAGGAGAGTTTGAAAAACATCCTGCATGCATGAGGCCTTAGGGTAAATTCACACCAGATACGGGAGGACTGCATCTGGCAGCTAATCCAGTGCAGTCCCTCTGCACAGCCAGGCAAGTGGCTCTTTCTGGTGTACCCAGTTCACACCACTGCATTGTGGTAGTGTTCACTGAAAAAAGTACTGCATGCAGTAATTTTTTCCAGCCCAGTTCAGTGTGAGGCAATTCACTGCCTCGCGCCAAATGGCCTCCAATTGAACTTAATGAAATGCCCCTGTGACATTTCAATAAAGTTCATAAAAAAAAAGTAAGTGCGATGCACGGAGATTGGCACTGTAGCGATCCCACCGGATCGCACCACACTGCACACCAGGTGCTGTGCAGGATACTAAAAAAAAAAAACAAACGCTTTTTTCTTTTTTGAATAAACCGTAGATAACAAATAGTAGTAGTGCTACTTTTTACCTCTTTATTTTGCATCTAATATATTTTTGAGAGCAGCAGCTGCAAGAGCTCCTGGATTTTATTTTCAGAGCTAGGAATTGCTGGCAGTTGGGAGGAGGAAGGGGGCCACAGCAGCATCACAGATGGACAGGGTATGCTACACATCCTATGTACTTTGATGAAGTTTTTTTGGGCTAATGTAGCACAGCCAGTGTTCTCAACTGTTTTAATCGGATTAATATTCTAACCACAATTGTTTATTTTAGATAACCAGCTGGACACTGATATTGTTGATTTTTATGAAGAAACCAAAGTCAAATTTGCTGTTCTGTCAGAAGATCTTCTGTGGGAGTACATCGACAGTGGGGAGCCAATGTAAGTTCTTGTTTGCGTCCAGCGCATTTGTCCTATGATTTTTTTTTTTTTACGTATTTTATATTTTAGTAATCTAGATTAGTTTGTATCTAAAGCCAAAGCATTTTTTTTCAATACAGTACTGTAGGGTTTCTTACTCTTTTGCTCTGTTTACCATTGCACTGGAACTAAAAGTGAGGGAAAACTCTAAATGTTTAGTTTGTTAGGACAGTTTGTCATCTCACTTAATCAAAATAATTTGTCAAGGATGAGATGGCACCACCAAAGGTAGGCAAGAGTTTGGGTATAAGATAACCTTGCACACATTCTATTGCCTTCTCACATAATGGTCCTTGAGATAAAATAATTACGCATTCTTCCACTATCCACCAAGAGAACATGTTTTCTGACAGAGAAAGAACAATGACTAGCATCACTTTTTAGGCCTGCAAGAGCATAAATATGTCCCTCTTTAATAAAGTTGTTGTTCAGTTCTTTGTCAATATGTCCTTCACTTTTGTGCTCACTTTACAAAACTGGTACCCAGGACATGGCACCATTTAAATGTATTCATTTTTTAATTATACTTATCTAGGTGGATTCACCATTGCTCCGATGCTGCATCTGTCCCCCGCCGCCTCTAAGGTGAGAACAGTGCTCTGTGAGCAGAGAGCTGGTGACTGTCAGTCACTGCTCTCTGCTCTGCCCCCCCCCTCTGCACTCACTGGAGTGCTGGGCTGTGAAGGGGGCTGGAGTGGCTGGCTCAGGCTCTCAGTTGATTACTGGGAGGCTGAGCCAGGTGCCGGTCAAGGGATCTGAGTGGATCCCGACTTTAAAATCAGGATCTTTCCCCAGTCTGAGTGACAACAGGCCAACAGCAGATTTTATCCTGCTGTAGGCTGAAAACGGGTCACGGGAGTGCATAACGAACTGCACTCCTGAGATCCACAGAAGTACAGCCAAAACAAGCTTTAGCTGCACTTCTCCTTTAACCTCCCTGGAGGTATTCCCGAGTGTAGCTCGGGGTAAAGTTTCAGCACCACAAGTGGTAACCACAAGTTACACTCGGGAATACCCTGCAGCGCTGCGCCGGGATCTCTTCTGCACTTACCTTGTTCTTCGCTCCCGCTATGTCCCCCCAGCAGCGTCCCAGGAAATCTACTCCGGCCGATGCCAGCATCCGTCTTCCGGGTTCCGTTCCCTGCGTCATCGGGAGGTACGGGGACGAAACTGTCGGGAAATTTAAACATTTTAAAAAGTGACATTCACTAAATACACTAAAATCACATAGTAAAACATTACTGTATCAAACCATTTCACATACATTTTGTCCCTAGTGCTTTGTCCTGTGCCCTACCTGCATTTTTACCGGTCTTTCTGCCTGGAAACTGAGAAAAGTCCATGGCATCCAAAAAGCGTCCCTTTAGGTCAAAAGTGGTTTTAGACCAGCTAGAGAACAGCGATAGTAAATTAGAACCACTTGCAGAATTGAGTGATGATTTGTGGGGAAATTCGTCATCAGACACTGAAAACGATTTTGCGATCAGTAATGTGCGAACTTGGCGCTTTATTTCAAATTTCAGTGTTTTTGGTTTTATTACATTATTGAATTCAATTTATTATTATTATAATATTATTTTTTTTTATGATTATTAAATTATAATTTATGATTTCGTGTTTCAAATTTTATTATACCCGGGATGTTTACTAGACTCTTGTTTGAACAGATTTCAGTGAGTTATTCCTAAGAATTACAGGCCTACAATAAAAAAAAAAAACATATTTCCATGCAAAAAAATGCACCGCTTTGAGCACAGAAATACTGACATAACACAGGTCTTTTTCAAATTTTTTTTTCAAGAGCTGTTTTGGTTATTCCACGTAATCTTTATGTTTTTTGGTGCGCTGAATCCGAAAATGACCTCCATTTTGTCATAGGACATCACGTTCCCTGACAATTTAGGTAACTATGTTAAATAAGGCAATACCTCAAAATAAATGGAAATAGACTTATAAAATTAAAGTTTTATTACAATTTTTATGAAAATCCTTTTTTGAACTGAAATGAGCTCATCTACACACAGTAAACTCGATTCTTCTTCCCTGTGAGGCTCCTCTTGGTGCATTTATGCTTGTGAGTAGCATCTGGAATGTCTCTCTGAAGCATCCAACAGTAGTCTGCCATCATTGTAATGTTCCATTTTCCCTGGTATCTCTTTTCCATCTCTTTAATGTCTTGGTGGAATCGTTCGCCTTGTTCCTCACTCACAGCTCCCAAATGTTCAGGAAAGTAGTCAAGGTGGGACTGGAGGAAATGTAGTTTCAAACTCATCAGGCAACCTAAAGCTTGAAATGCTTTCAGCATTCGTCTGACGATCTTTTTGTAGTGAGGATCTTTGTTATTGCCTAAAAATTTCTATACGACATCTTTAAATGCAATCCACCCTTTTTGAGGATCTGTCATGGTATTGACAAACTCTTGATCAACTATAAGCCTTCTAATGTCTGGTCCAACGAACACACCTTCCTTCAATTTTGCCTCTGACAGGCCTGGAAACTTGGTGACCAAGTATTTGAAGCATTCTCCATCTCTTGGAAGTGATTTTATGAATTGCTTCATCAGTCCCAATTTTATGTGGAGAGGTGGTAGAAGAACTTTTATGGGAAGGTACCAAAGTTTCTCGGAGAACTTTTTTTTCACCGACTGTTAGCACCCTCAGCTGCCAACTCTTCTTGGTCCAGTGATTTTGTCGGTCTCGACTGTCCCATAGACACAGAAAACAAGGGAATTTGGTATCCCACCCACTGGAGTCTTAAGGAAAGATTAACCCCTTCTACCATTAGAAGTACAGACTCAGGGCTGAGGCTTACACATACAGCATGCTGCTGAGTATCCCAGTAGTCAGACATGTCACTCAGAGCAGCACTTGTATTCACCCCCTTTGCAGGGGGGGAGAGGCAGAGATTGTTTACCTGCAAATAACAACAAAGGGCCAGAAGAGAACTAGTGAAATGAGGAAATAGAATTTTTTTTTCCCTAAAACTTGCTTAGCTTATGTATATATTGCTGACCATCAGATTTACAGTGCTCTATTTTTTTTTACATAACTCAGACAACCCCTTTAAGGTTTTTTTTTGGCATTTTATATCTTAAATGCACTTATGTGAATTAACAGTAATTTGGACTTTAAATTTGGTTAAAAACCCATAATATAAAAAAAAATAAATTAAAAAAATTTGATAAATTTGAAGACAATTTTTCATTTTGTGGCAAATCATGACGTCTAGGAGTTTTTTCAATATTTTATTTGTTTTCAGCACACCAAAATACATGGAAATTAGATGAAAATAATCAAACAGCTTTTTAGTCGCAGACCTGTGTAATCATACCGCTAAGGAGGCTACGGCATTGATGACCTCAGATCTAAAGATAAACTTAGTTATCATATACATTATGCCATTGCTTAATAACAAGTGATCAATATGTAAATAAAACATGAAATATCCAGAGGCTTCTCATTGTATGCAAATACAGTATGTTTTCAGTACTTGCATTGGGATGTAGAGCTTACTCACAGCCAGCAGGTGGAACTGTATGTACTGTTAAATTTTTATCAAACGAAAAAATTAAACTTTTATACTCAGTGGTTAGCAATTGTCCCACCTTTTTGTCATGTTTTTATGGGTTTCACACAGGGTGATCTAGTTTTGTTCCCACAGTCCTCAAATCTACAGAAAAGGTTTCACAGGGGCGATGCATTTTTATTCTAATAGTCCCTAAGCTTAATTTCCACCTTTGCATTTTAAATTTGAGTCCCCCCCCAACCAATACATTGTCCTACCAATCACACAGAATACCTGAAAATATATTAACAAACATTTTTTTTTCTTACCTTTCTAATTGTTTCTTTGGAGCAGGTTTGTACAATATGTCTCTTTAGGCAGGTTGTATTGTTATATCAGAATAGCTTGCAATGTGCAATTAAGGGATAGACTGAAGGACAATTTTATTTTTACAGCTTATACATACCTTTTGTTGGAGATTAGTTGGGGTCAGCTAAACTGGTATAACACTTTACAATTACAATGCCAGAAAAGAAAGGGGCTGCACACAGATGATGCCTTTTGCTTTAATGGATTTCATTCAGCTGTACAATCCATGCTGCAGATCTCCATCTAAGACTTCTCCTTGCTGACGTGGTTTACCCCTCTTGGGCTTAGACGTAGGGATCTCTTGGAAGTCACATCATTGATGTGTGGCCCCTAATTTTATGCATTATAAGTGCAAAGTAGGTGTTATCCCAACTTAGCCAATCACAATTTGGCTGCAAATGTGGAAATACACTTTAAGCTTACAGCAATGGCTGTGATACATTTTTATTCCCATAGTCCTCAAACCTATTGCAGAGACTTGCTGGATGCTCCCAGAGGTGGTGTGTTTCTATATAATTATAGTAGGTAAATTTGGCCAAAGTACTGTCAGAGACTGACATAAAGAATTCCTGGTACTCTGTAAAGCTATGCAGAATTTCTTTGTACAATATAAAAAGGCAGTAGTTCTAGTTATATAGCGTTGTCAATTTAAATATACAGTATGTTGTACATTCACATCAGTCCCAGTACAATTTAAAGTGCCTAACTCACATTCATACATACACATACTAGGGCCAAATTAGACTGGAACCAATTAACCTACCAGCATGTCTTTGGAGTGTGGGTGGATACTGGAGTACCCAGATGTAACCCACGCAAGCACAGAGAGAACATGCAAACTCCAGGCAGGTAGTGTCGTGGTTGGGATTCGAACCAATGACCCTAGTGCTGCTAGGCAGAAGTGCTACCCACTTAGTCACCATGCTTTCCAATGTCCACATGTTAATTGATTACCAATTTACAGAACTCCAGTAATACGTTCTACTACAAATAGTACTTTTTCATATTGCTTTATATAATTGTTTAGCAATTTTTTTTTTTTCCCTCAGGGATAAAGCTGGTGGATATGGCATTCAGTCTCTTGGGGGAATGTTAGTAGAAAGTGTACATGGAGACTTTTTGAATGTAGTTGGTTTTCCGCTGAACCACTTCTGCAAAAAGCTTGCAGAAATCTACTATCCACCTTCCAAACAATCCATACATAGAGTAAAGCATGACTCCATTCCATATGTAGAGAGCTTTGAAAACCTCAGTGACGTGGAGAAAGACTGCTCTTCTAGTAAGAACTCTGACATAAAGAAGGCAAGGAAGGATTGTGGTAATAACAGTTGTAGTTCTGGGCCCTCTTTACAACCTACAACAATTATTCAAAATGGAGTTGAAAAAAAGTCAGAAAACACCATTCAGTTCCCCTCAAAAATTATTGAACTTCTGGATGGCTTTAAAGCATCAAAGGTATGTGTCTCAAATATATATTATGCCTTTTTTATATTTTTAGCTGAGCTCCAGCCATTTATCTAAATATAATGGAAGTACTGTATGTATTAAGCAAATTAGCGACACAGGCTGCCTATCACGCTCTCTGCGACAAGTTTACAGTGTATTTGCAACCAGTGCTTCTGGATTTCTGGGCAGCAAACTTGGACATATTTGTTACTGAAAATTAGACTGATTTTCACTCTAAATAGACACATAATTAAGAAATAGTCAGGGTCAAGTGGCATTCTACTACTCTCAGCGAGCCGCTGGGAGCCTGAGTTGCTCCTACCCCCTTCACAGCCTGGTACTCCAGTGAGCGCTGAAGGGGAGGGACAGAGCAGAGAGCCGGTGACTGACAGTCACCAGTACTCTGCTCACTGAAGACTGAGAACCGAGCACTCCACAGTCAGTTCTTGGTCTTGGAGGAGACTGGGGACAGATCGGACCGATGCTGCATCCACCTAGATGAGTATGTAAGTTTATTTTTAAATTCCCAAACTTCTCTTTTAACCACTTGCCTACAGGGAACTTATACCCCCTTCCTGCCCAGGCCAATTTTCAGCTTTCAGCGCTTTCACAATTTGAATGACAATTGCGCGATCATGCAACACTGTACCCATATGAAATTTTTTTGAGACAGATACGGCTTTATTTTGGTAGTATTTAATCACCTCAGGGTTTTTTATTTTTTGCTAAACAAACCAAAAACTACTGAAAATTAAAAAAAAAAAGTTTTTTTCTTAGTTTTTGTTATAAAATTTTGTAAATAAGTGATTTTTCTCCTTCACTGATGTGCGCTAATGAGGCTGCAGTAATGAGCACTGCACTGATAGGCTGTACTGATGGGCACTGATAGGTGGCACTGATGGGCATTGACAGGCATCACTGATGTGCACTGAAAGGCAGCTCTCATATATGGCACTGATAGGCGGCACTGACTGGCACTGATAGGTGGCACTGATGCGCACTGATAGGCAGCACTGACTGGCAGTGATTGGCAGCACTGATAGGTGACACTGACTGGCACTGATAGGCAACTCAGATAGGCACTGATATGTGGCAATGATGTGCACTGGTAGGCACTGATATGTGGCACTGATGGGCACTAGCAGGTGGTATTGATGAGCACTGACAGCTGGCATTGATGGACACTGACAGGTGGCACTGCTGGGGCTACACTGATCATCAGTGCCCTGATGATCAGTGTACATGCCCCCTCTGAGGAATGCCGATTACCGGCTCTCCTCTCGAGTTGTCAACGTGACAGCTCGTGAGGAGAGAAATGCTGATAACCGACATTTCCTTATTTACATGTGATCAGCTGTGATTGGACACAGCTGATCACATGACCGAACCAACATCTTTGGCTCTTTCTGTTGATCGGTAATCCACCGTGTCCGAGGGACACGGCACACCACCGATTGCCACGCTGCACGCCCCCGGATCTACGCACGCACGGTTAGAGAGGGAAGACGTCATAGGACGTCCTCCCAGAACGAGAAAACCGCCTTGCATCCGTCATTTCCTTATATGGCAGGCGGGAGGCGGTTAAAGTTGTCCTACTACTTTTCCAGGTACAAGTAAATAAAGGGTAGCTTAAAAGCTAAAATGCTTACCTTCCTGTACAAAATGCTGCCCTGAGTTTCTTTCAGCACTGGTAACCTGACCAAAAGTCTAAACATTTACATATTCACATAAGATCTGCTAAAGAGGAGGATCGACAATTTTTCCCTGTGTTCACAAAACCTGAAGCAGAATTTTCTCTATGAAACTCTTTTTTTTTTTTTTTAACCATTACATAAATACCAGTAACATAGCTCTTTGTTAACATTTAAGTGTAAGCCTGCTTTGAAGGACTCACTTCATAATAAGAACTACCTAGCCCTCTAAATGAACCCGCTCCCAAAACAGGTGCCTACTTCTAATCTCATACAGATGGCAGCGGCCTCCTGTAGTGTTTTAACGTAAAAGTAGACTTCTGACAAGGTTGAAAGTAAAGTCTTGAAATATATACAGGGAAGGGAGTCTACTAGCTCAGTGCATTGGCTTTTCATCCAGACGATTGATCTTGAAGTGCACTAGCTTGTGTTGCTGAAACACTCACTGCAAGCTTCTTGCTGTCTCGCTCATGCAGCATGATAAAAATGCTAATAATAAGACCTGTCTTATAGCACCATTCAAATTTAAACCTTCTTTGAAAGATTGGATGTGACTGCTGATGCAGTAAGTAAAAAGTTACAGTACAGGCTTTAGTAAGTATATTTTTAGTGGTGCACGGAAATGAAAATTCTGGTGCCGAAACCGACACTGAAAATTCAGAATGCACGAGGCCGAAAACTGAAATGTATGTGGGGGTGGGGAGGCTCAAATGTTGTTTTATATTTTTTTGCTTTTTTACATTAATGTGTATTTTTTTTTTTTTTTTAACTGATGATTTTATTGCTATCACATAGGGGAACGATAGTCCCCTATGTGATAGTATATGAGTGACAGGTCCTGTGACAGGGGGTGGGGAGGCAGTATGACAGGTGCTGTGACAGGGGGTAGGGGGGCAGTGTGTGCAAGGAGGGGGCAGGAGAGGAGCATTGTATAGCAGTGTCTACAGTCAGGATCCCTCACTGGCTGCCGCTATATGTCAATGCTGGTTTTTAAATGTAATTACCAGCTTTTTTTTTTTTTTCCTTCACTATAGCTCCAAGAAAGATGTGTCATTCTCCCCGCCGCTAAAGGAAACAAAAGGGTGGGGTCACTGGGTAATGTCACTGGGTGATTCTGCCCCTTTGTTTCCCAATCTTGGGATGTGTTGTTGAAGACTTCTTGAAAGTCTGCTGTGGATTCCTGCTTTGTAAGCCTGTTAGTCGAGACACAAATTGGTGTTTTCTTGACCACTCGCCAAGGTCAGCTGCATACATTGATTTCAGTTTCCCTATTCATCTGCCAATACTCTTAGAAGCACTGCGCTTTTGTTTTTTGGTAAATTTATTTTAAGTGAATCGCCAAATGGTTGTATTTTTACGCATCTGTATATTGAGGTCTAATCATTTGTATAGCATTTGTCACACAGAAGATTTTTTGGTGCAAAGGAAAGTATAATGTCAGTGAGTTTGTCAATATAGAAGTAAAAGGGGGTAGATGTAAAGGAAGAACTAAATGAGAAGGGTGAGGGCGACTTATGACCAAATAGAGGCTAACCGACAACTGTTGACAGAGCGTTCCTTTCAAAGCACACACAAATGTAAAGGCCTAACTAAAGAGTATTTAAAGTGTTACTAAACCCAGGACCCTGCATTCACTACATCTGGTTTCCCACAGTACACAAAACCACAGAACATGGAAATACAATTATTTTAGTAAGTATAAACTGCCAAATCCCTTTTCTCAATCTTTCTTAATCAGCAGTTAGATTAGTCTTGTGACTTCTTCCAGTGTCTAGCAGAGTACTGGTTACGGCTTGTAGGAGGAGTTTTCATTCTCCTGTAGGAGGATGCAGGTCCCCTGACCTCTGTTTGGACAGTGTTGATCACATGCACTTTTCCAAGAAAAAAAAAAAAAAACTAGCAATACACACCAAACTGAGCATGTGCAGCTTGCCCCTGAGCCTCTGTTCTATCAGAAGATATTTAGGAGACACGTTGAAGAAGCGAAAGATCAGAGAAGACGCAATGAAACATCCTTTTTTTACAAAATGTAGAGGATTAACAGTGTGTATTACAAGCATGCTTTGCTGAATATACAAACTGATTTTATTGTTGTGGGTTTAGTACCACTTTAAAGGCTAGGAACATGTTACAAGTTACATGGGTATTTAGGGTTGTTGTTCCCCTTCCCCCAGCAGCTGTCACTTTTGAAATAGGTGCAGCTGTGTGAACTCTGCCCGCACAGCTGCGTCATTCATTCATTCACAGAGAACTGTGAACAAAGTACAAGTTCTGTCTGCCAACATTGCAATGTTTGACAAAAAAGCCTGACAAAAAAGTCCTGAGGAGCTCTGAAATGTTTCACTGTGATGTGATCTTTCCCATAAAAAAATTGGACTTTATGGCACTTTCATTTTGATGCGGTGCGGTTATCCTGTGCGATTAACTGTGCCGGTTACTTGTGCTTTACCACAGACTTCTATTGCATTAGCCGGTTTTGGTGCACTTTCAGAAAATGCACCAAACTGCTTGATGCAATAGAATTCTATACAAAGTTCAGATAACCGCACGAAACTCACAGGTACACTGCGCTGCATCCGCAGTGCAGGAAGAATGTACCGCATCAGTGTGAATGTGCTGTTATAGTAAAGATCAGTGGTGTGATAGTTACATATTTCCCTTTTCAAGAAAGTGACATCTAGGCAGGCTTACTGGAAGGATCAATAGATATATTTTTATATACATAGCGCTTACACATATAAATCATTGAGCACACTCTGATTGTGTGCAAGTACTCTATTACGCATGTCATTTTTTTAAAATTTTTGACAATACTTTTTTTTTTTGTTCACCAGTGTGCCTTAAGGATTTTTTTCTTTAGAAATGGTTTCTTTCACGAATATAAGTATTTTTTCTAATTGGAACTGCCCCAATTTATAACTAGCTTGGAGGGTAAGGTGCACATAGTCCTCTATATCTGCTTTAGACAGAACAAACAACAACATTTTCTACAAAAAGTATTTGCTCTGTGTCTAATCTGTATAGCCCAAACTAGTCCTTGTCTATGTGCACAATGTAGATAAATGTCCACAACTGTGATTTCCTCTGTTTGTCTTTCTGTTTACAGACATTGTTTGCAGCATCTAAACTGAAGGTCTTTGATAAGTTGAAAGATAAAGGTGCGCTGAAGGCCATGGATATTGCGGATAAGATTAATGCTTCTGTACATGGAACTGAAAGGCTTCTTGATGCCTGTGTCGCCCTTGGCCTGCTAGAGAAAACTCATCAAGGTAAATCTTAGTGGTAATTTATTTCTGTGTAATGTTTTAGTCTTGAAAACTTTAAAATGAGAGCAAAAAATCAGGATGTGGTAGCTTTTCTTTTGTACAATTGATTTCCACAAGTGAAATAGCCATTGCTACGTTTCATGGGATAAAGGAGTTTTAGGCAGCAGCCTACCACTTTGAAGAATAGGGACAAAAGGAAAATCAAGTACTTACTGATTAAAGTGACCATGTAGCTAGTATAAAAATCTCTAACGGCTTGTTCACACCATACATGCACAAAAACTGATGAGAACTGACACGCAGAATTCACTTGCAGAGACAAGTTTAAATCTGTTTTCATGTGCGCTTCAGTGAGTTTTATACAAGTTGTCGACTCGTGCAGAAAAAAAAATCTGCTAGTAATACTAGTGTTGTGGTGTAAACAGGGCACATAGAGAACAATTTTTTTTTTGTGCTTTTGTAGAATGCGTGCAGAAAAACTGATGTCTCTGCACACTGGTGTGAACAAGGCCTTATAGTTACCCTTTGTAAAAGAATAACTTGTATAGCTACGGTGGCCATACTCGCTGATTGAAGTTCAGCCGATCTGAACCCTGATGTACAGAAGTTGATTGTTTAATCGACTTCTTCTGTTGAAGGGACATGTTGGAATATTTTCCATGAACAGCGTCTGCAGCTGTTGGTCGGTGTATGAAATGTCCCAGCGGGGAAGGAAACATCCATCCACCTCTTGTGGCCGCAAGCTGAACAAAAAAAAGTGTATATGACCATCCTTACAGGTCCAGCATGCTGCAGAAACATTATTTGACCTCTCATGCCACAGCTGCTGGACATTTCCAGGTGTGTCAGCTTGTCAATGCTAGCTAAAAAGCAAAGGCCAAATAGGACTTTAAAGGTACCACACCAAAGGTAAGCTAAAATGTTATTTTTTTATTACAGCGTAGAAAAGTTAAAATCCCAAAAGATAGAAAACATGAATTGCACATTTTACAAATACAATTGATGTTCATGGTTTTCAAGCACAGTTTAGATATATGTGAAGTGACAACCTCTAAGTGGATCAAAGTGTTCATTTTTTTAACACGTTTTGAAGGACAGAGCCTGCTTCTTCAGGACAAACAGAACTTTTGAAATGTCTGCTGTGGCTGTTGACAAAATGTGCAGTAAAATAAAACAAATGTGGAACAGCAAACCCTCGGATGGGTGAGCCCAGGACCCAGTGCCTCAAACCAAGATGCAGAAAAAAACACCAGATGTATGTGTTACTGCAGTACCACAAGGAGGGAGTGATGCCTCAAACCAAGAAGGAGAAATAATCACTCGGATTTATGTGTTGCACTTGTTCGATTTTCTTAGTCTCAGTTATAAACTCTTGTTAAGATGTATGCGGTCTTACATCGCTCCCTCATTGTGGTGTTGCAGCAACACCCTTATTTCTTTTAGGCTACGTTCACACTAGCCTTGTGTGCAGGTGGCAGAGAGGCGTTTGGTAAGCGTTTTTACCGCTTCCCAAACGCCTCTGCCAATTCTGCACATTACAGCACATGGTGCTGTTCTAACGGGAGCATTTGCGTCGTGTTGCGTCGCGGCACAACGGACGCCTCTGGACGAGTCAGGAGGCTTTAAAGCCTCCTATTCTCGTCTATGGTGCCGCTCTACAAACGCCCGGCTGGCGTTTGCGGTGCGATGCGGTTGCGGGGCGTTTGCGGAGCGGTAACACCACTCAAACTGCATTATAGGCGTTTGTGGGGCGTTATTAACGCTCGGCAAATGCCTAGCAACCCCGCTAAACCGCGCATGCGGCATTTGCGGAGCATTTGCCGAGCGTTAATAACGCTCCGCAAACGCCGGACCAACGCGTGCGAACGCTATAGGGGCGTTTGGCAAGCGTTGGCAAAACAGCCTAGTGTGAACGAGCCCTTACAGAAGACAGCTTGTGGAGACTTTGTATACTAGCAACAGGTTTGCTACATGCTTAAAGTCCAACTCAAGACATACCTATTTTCTTAGTACACTTGAAAACGGTTAGAAGAGCTATCCTTTGGAGTAAGTATTTTCCTATCATTTTTATGCCCTAGGACCCAAAAGTACCTTTAAAAAAAAAAAAAAAAGAGAACTTTTCTGCATGCTTTTTTTTTTTCTTTCTCCTGACATTACAGTTGATCTATCTCCTTATCTTCCTATAGCTGGTGGGTGTGTATCTTTAATGCTACAGAGAATGAAAAATACTACAGCTTCTGACTTTTAATAAGAGAACACTTTGTCCAGGGATCCAGTGCAGTTCTCACTTGGACCTGTTCCTCACCGGTCTTAGAGTCTCCAGCATGTTTACTAACTGCGCTTTGTGAATGATCCCACAGTCTACAAAGAGGGCAGTGAACTTGCGCTTTGATCGCCTAGATGATATGGGTAACTGTCAAAACCAGGTACCCATTTCCCCCCCCAAAAAAAATAAGCACTTGCTCTCCAGAGGATTTACCCCCCTTCCTGACCAAGCCATTTTTTTGTAATATGGCACTGCATTACTTTAACTGACAATTGCGTGGTCATGCAACGCTGTACACCAATGAAATTTATGTACTTTCATTTCATAGAGCTTTCTTTTGATGGTATTTGATCACCTGTGCTATTTTATTTCACATACTTTTTATTGAGTTTTCAATACGTTTTCAACAAGAAAGAAAAGAAAGATAGTGTACATAGGGGTATCAATCCAACACACAATATACTGTAGCAATCCAGGATGAAATTGAAAACACATTAAATGATATACAACATACAGTAAATTGACATATCGGTACCAGATTAACTTAGAGTATGTTAAAGTCACCCAGTGGAAGGCATCAATTGCTTCCAAGAATGCCATCTTCAGTAAAAGTAATCAGCCAATCCGTCTCTATATGCCATTATTCGCTTGTATTCAAATATTATATCTAAATACTGTTTAACTTGTTATGCTAGGAACTAATGCAGATTTCCATTTTCTAACAAGAGGCGTGCTGTAGATAAAATATTTAATGATATAGGTTTCATGGATGATTACGATCAATGCTCTTAATTTATAAATATTCTGAGATAGTAAAAGCATTCTAAGTTCCTATCTAGCATGCGAAAGCTTTGAGTACACAAAGGCTGAGGGTTTTGTTTTGAGATTGTTTTAAGACCTGAATTTTTGTAAGAAAGTTATCTAGTAACTGTGCCTTTTGCCTTTTTAGCTATACTACTCAATTTTAACAGTATGCCTCGCATATACAGTGGGGCAAAAAAGTATTTAGTCAGCCACCAATTGTGCAAGTTCTCCCACTTAAAAAGATGAGAGAGGCCTGTAATTGGTATCATGGGTAGACCTCAACTATGAGAGACAAAATGACAAAAAAAATCCAAACAATCACATTGGCTGATTTGGAAAGAATTTATTTGCAAATTATGGTGGAAAATAAGTATTTGGTCACCTACAAACAAGCAAGGCTTGTTTGGCTCTCACAGACCTGTACCTTCTTCTTTAAGAGGCCCCTCTGTCCTGCACTCATTACCTGTATCAATGGCACCTGTTTGAACTTGTTATCAGTATAAAAGACACCTGTCCACAACCTCAAACAGTCACACTCCAAACTCCACTATGGTAAAGACCAAAGAGCTGTCGAAGGACACCAGAAACAAAATTGTAGACCTGCACCAGGCTGGGAAGACTGAATCTGCAATAGGCAAGCAGCTTGGTGTGAACAAATCAACTGTGGGAGCAATATTTATAAAATGGAAGACATACAAGACCACTGATAATCTCCCTCGATCTGGGGCTCCACGCAAGATCTCACCTCGTGGGGCCAAAATGATCACAAGAACGGAGAGCAAAAATCCCAGGACCACACGGGTGGACCTAGTGAATGACTTGCAGAGAGCTGGGACCAACGTAACAAAGGCTACCATCAGTAACACACTACGCCGCCAGGGACTCAGATCCTGCAGTGTTAGACGTGTCCCCCTGCTTAAGCCAGTACATGTCCGGGCCGTCTGACGTTTGCTAGAGAGCATTTGGATGATCCAGAAGAGGATTGGGAGAATGTCATATGGTCAGATGAAACCAAAATAGAACTGTTTGGTAGAAACACAACTCGTCGTGTTTGGAGGAGAGAGAATGCTGAGTTGCATCCAAAGAACACCATACCTACTGTGAAGCATGGGGGTGGCAACATCATGCTTTGGGGCTGTTTCTCCGCAAAGGGACCAGGATGACTGATCCATGTACAGGACAGAATGAATTGGGCCATGTATCGTGAGATTTTAAGTGCAAACCTCCTTCCATCAGCAAGGGCATTGAAGATGAAACGTGGCTGGGTCTTCCAACATGACAATGATCCCAAACATACCGCCCAGGCAACGAAGGAGTGGCTTCGTAAGAAGAATTTCAAGGTCCTGGAGTGGCCTAGCCAGTCTCTAGATCTCAACCCCATAGAAAACCTTTGGAGGGAGTTGAAAGTCCGTGTTGCCCAGCGACAGCCCCAAAACATCACTGCTCTAGAGGAGATCTGCATGGAGGAATGGGCCAACATACCAGCAACAGTGTGTGCCAACCTTGTGAAGACTTACAGGAAACGTTTGACCTCTGTCATTGCCAACAAAGGATATATGACAAAATATTGAGATGAACTTTTGATATTGACCAAATATTTATTTTCCACCATAATTTGCAAATAAATTCTTTCCAAATCAGCCAATGTGATTGTCTGGATTTTTTTTCTCATTTTGTTTCTCATAGTTGAGGTCTACCTATGATGCCAATTACAGGCCTCTCTCATCTTTTTAAGTGGGAGAACTTGCACAATTGGTGGCTGACTAAATTCTTTTTTGCCCCAGTGTATGCTTTCTGTGAGTTCCACAACACGAAGTGGTCCAAAACAAACTTTTCATTCATGTCAAAAAATTCTTTAATGTGTTGAACTATTTTGCTTCTATTTTCGGGTAGGGTCATGAGGAAAACATCGATCCTCCATCTATTCGCTTTA